CGGTGCGCCGTTATATGTATATATAGAAGGAACCGCACGTGGGCGGCGTGCCTTGCCAGGGGGGGAACCACCGTCGCCTTGATCCATACATGGCTCCGGGCTCCCCTTCCACCTCCGCCTCACCTCCTCCTCCTCCTCCTCCTCCTCCTCCTCCTCCTCCTCCATTATTTTTCCTTCTAAATTTCTCTTTGTCGCACCCCGAGGTTACTTTTTATGGCGGGCCTGGCGTTTCGCCGGAGACTTCCTCAACATTTATGATTCTGATGTTTAAATTTGGCAGCAGTTTCACAGATGGAGGGCGGGTCGTTTTCAAAATGTGGCTCTCGCCTTAGCGCCGCGCGCATTCGTTTTAACCATTTGCAAAGAGCTTCACGGATTGAGGGCGGGCCGTTTTCAAAACTGCGATCTCTCCCAGTCGCCGCGCACATTTGTTCTAAACAGTTGCAAGAACTGCGCGGATGGAGGGTGGGTCGTTTTCAAAATGTGGCTCTCGCCTTGGCGCCGCGCACATTCGCTTTAAACATTTGCAAAGAGCTTCACGGATTGAGGGCGGGCCGTTTTCAAAATTGCGATCTCTCCCAGTCGCCGCGCACATGTGTTCTCATTATTTGCAAGAACTGCTCGGATGGAGGGCGGCTCTTTTTCAAATTGTGGCTCTCGCCTTAGCGCTGCGCACATTCGTTTTATAAATGTAAGCTCATCCAGAAACGATGCCCAGAGGAATTGCCTCGATCAGGGAAGTGGGCAGCACAGAGCAAGGGCCCCCCGTAGAGGCCTCTTGGAGCGTCTTAAGGGCCTCTTGGCGGCCCCGGACGCCTCTTAGAGCGTCTTGGGTGCCTCGGAGAGCTTCTTTGGGCCTCCTGGGGGTCTCTTGGGAGCCTCTTGGAGGCCTCTTGGGCGCCTGTTGGGGCCTCCTGGGGCCTCCTGGGCGCCTCTTGGGGCCCTCTTGAAGCGCTCTGGGGAGCCTTGGGAGCGCTCTTGGATCCCTCTTGAGCCATCTTAGCCATCTTGAAGCCTCGGATGGCCATTGGAAGCGAAAAGGCAAGAAAGCCAAAACCGTAGATGTTCCTGAGGTTTTGGAAGGATTTTGGCATCTTCCGGGCCTCCTGGAGGAACTCTTTGGACAGTTGGAGCCGTCTTGGAGCGGTCTTGGGGCCTCTTGGAGCATCGTGGGAGCCACCTTGAGGCATCTTGGGATATCTTGAGCCATCTTGGAGGTCATCTTGGGCTCTCCCAGGCGCTCTTGGAGTCATCTTAAGCAGTGCCCCCCCCCCCCCTCTCCCCAGGAGGCCAACATGTGACCAAAACCTTAGTAAAACCAATGATTTGGGCAGTCTCGCCGAGGCCTCTAAGAGCGTCTTGGGTGCCTCTCGGGGGCTTCTCGGGGCCTCTTGGGGGTCTCTTGGGAGCCTCTTGGGGGCATCCTGGGGGCCTCGTGGGGGCCTCTGGGGGGCCTCCTGGCCACCTCTTGGGGCCCTCTTGAAGCGCTCTGGGGAGCCTTGGGAGCGCTCTTGGAGCCATCTCGGAGAAGATCGATCAAAGAAGGGGAGGTCTTAATTAGCGCCGCCCCCACAAGAGGCCAACATGAGGCCCAAACCGTAGTAAAACCAATGATTTTGGCTTCCTCGCCGAGGCCGTTTTGGACGCTCCTGCGACCCGCGGAACGCCCCCTCCATGTCCAGGGTAGGGGGTAGGGGGAGGGGTCAAGTTACCCCCTCCCCGCCCGCAAGCCGTCTCGCTCACTCCCACCCGCCCTCCCAACACATACGTAGCACCCGAGTCTGGCCCGAGCCTCAGCATATTCAGCAGTCGTCTTTGGATGGGCAGCTACTGGGGGCCAATCCGCCGCCGCCGCCGCCGCCGCCTCCGCCGCCGCCGCCGCCGCCGCCGCCGCTGCCCGCCGCCGCCGCCCCCGCCGCGCCGCCGCCTGCCGCCGCCGCCGCCGCCGCCGCCCCTGCCGCCGCCGCCGCCGCCGCCGCCGCCGTCGCCGCCCCCGCTGCCCAACCGCCGCCGCAGCCGCAGCCGCCGCCACCGCCGCCGCCACCGCCGCCGCCGCAGCCACCCCCGCCGCCGCCCCCGCCGCAGCCGCCGCCGCCGCCGCCGCAGCCGCCGCAGCCGCCGCCGCCGCCGCCGCAGCCGCCGCAGCCGCCGCAGCCGGCAAGCGTAGTCTATATGGTTTTTTGACAGGGATGGGGGGGGGCCGCATCGGGTTGGCTGCGCATGTTCCGAATTCTAGACGCTTCGCGTATCCCCGCCAGCCCATCCAGAAATGATGCCCAGGGAAATTGAAGTGATCAGGCAAGTGAGGGAGCATACAGAGTCTCAAAGGGCTGGGGACCCGTCTTACTCCAAGAGGGAGAGGATGGAGGACGAATCGGAGGAGGACGAGATGCAGCGGCTGGATGTTTTTCTGGCCGGCAGTTCTTTTTTTCAGACGTGAGCCTCTGGCCTCGTCAGTTGCGGGGGCCTCTGGGGGGTCTCTTGGTGGCCTCTTGGGGTCATCTTGGGACCATATTGGGGCCATCTTGGCGCTTCTTGGGGCCCCCTGGGCGCCTCTTGGAGCCATCTTGGAGCCGATCGATCAAAGAAGGGGAAGGTCGCAATTAGCGTCGCCCCTCGGGAGCCTCAAAAATCGCTTCTGGGGCCCATCTTGAGGCGCTCTTGGGGCGCTCTCGGGCGCTCTTGGGGCCGTCTTGGGGCCCTCTTGGGCCATCTTGGAGCCACCTTGAGGCCTCGAATGGCCATCGGAAGCGAAAAGGCGAGACAGCAAAAAACATTGATTCTCCTCGGTTTTGGAGCCATGTTGGCCTCTTGGGGGGCCTCCTTGGGAGGCTCCAAGGCCACTTGGAGCCGTCTTGGGGCAGTCTTCGGGCCTCTTGGAGCATCTTGGGAGCCATCTTGAGGCATCTTGGGCTATCTTGAGCCATCTTGGAGCTCATCTTGGGCTCCCCAAGGCCCATTTGGAGCCGTTTTGGGCCATCTTGGACGCTCTAACCCCTCGCGGCCCCCCCGTTCAGGTCCAGGGGAGGGTGTAGGGGGAGGGGTAAACCCCTCCCCGAAGGGGAAGAGGGAAGATGGAAGAGGAAACTCTCTAAACCACCTGCGACCAGAGGTCTTGTGGGATTTGGAGGCAAAGTGTGTGTTTGTATTGTTATTTACAAGGTATGGTGTGGGGGGGTGTTGGCATGGACTCGGGTTGGCCCCCAGTCGCCTGGGGGAGGGGGTGTTTATCAATAGGGAACAGTGATCAAGAGTCCCCCTCCCTGCCCGCAAGCCGTCTCGCTCACTCCCACCCGCCTTCCCAACACATACGTAGCACCCAAGCCTGGCCCGAGCCTCAGCATATGCAGCAGTCGTCTTTGAATGGGCAGCTTCTGGGGGCGCATCCGCAGCCGCCGCCGCCGCCGCCGCCCGCCGCCGCCGCTGCCGCGCCGCCGCCGCCGCCGCCGCTGTCCGCCGCCGTCGCCGCCACTGCGCCGCCCGCCGCCGCCGCCGCCGCCGCCGCCGCCCGCTGCCGAATCGCCGCCGCCGCAGCCGCTGGCGCCGCCCCCGCCGCCGCCACCGCTGCCGCCGCCGCCGCCGCCGCCGCCGCCCCCGCCGCCGCCGCCGCCCCCGCCGCCGCCACCGCCGCAGAAACCACAACGGTTGCCCCCGCCGCAGCCGCCGCAGCCGCCGCCGCCGCCGCCAAGTGTACTCTGCATTGTTTTTTTTTTTGACAAAAATAGTTGAAGGAGGCCGCATCGGGTTCGCTGCGCATGTTCCGAATTTGGAGCCAGAGTGTGTTTTGCATTGTTTTTTAAGAAGGGATGGTGGGGGCAGAGTGTGGTTTGTATTGTTTCTGTTGCAAGGGATTGTGGTGGGGGCCCGCATGGACCTGGGTTGGCTCCCAGTCGCCTGGGGGGGTATATTAATAGGGAGCACAAGGGGGCAGGGGGAGGGGTCAAGAGACTCCGGCCCCGCCCGCAAGCCGTCTCGCTCACTCCCACCCGCCTTCCCGACACATACGTAGCACCCGAGTTTGGCCCGAGCCTCAGCATATTCAGCAGTCGTCTTCGGATGGGCAGCTACTGGGGGCCCATCCGCAGCCGCCGCGTCCGCCACCGCCGCCGCCGCCGCTGCCGCAGCCGCCGCCGCCGCCGCCGCCGCCGCCGCCGCTGCCCGCCGCCGCCGCCTCCGCGCCGCCGTCGCCGCCGTCGTCGCCGCCGCGCCGCCCGCCGCCGCCGCCGCCGCAACCGCCGCAGCCGCCGCCGCCGCCGCCGCCGCCGCCGCCGCCAAGTGTACACTCTGTTTTTTTTGTTTTTTTTTTTCGACAGGGATGGTAGGGTGAGGCCGCATCGGATTGGTCGCACATGCTCCGAATTTGGAGGCAAAACGTGTTTGGGATTGTTTTCTACGAGGGATGGTGGGGGGGGCCCTCATGGTTCCTTGTTGGCTACCAGTCGCCTGGGGGAGGGGGTGCTTACTAATAGGGAGCAGTGATTTTCACCTCCCCGAAGGGGAAGAAGGGGATGGAAAAGGAAACGCCCTAAACCACCTACGCCCTAAAGGGGTGGTGGGATTTCACGGATCCCCGTGATCAACGTACCGGAAACTGCGTTTTGGAAGGATTCCGGATTATGCGGGCGCAACAGTTACGTTGATTCGCGGTGTTGAAGTCCCAGGAATGGCGTTCTGGCACGGTTCAGGGTCGTCAAGACGCAACAGTCAGGTTGGTGCTTGGATTTGGAATCCCGAGAGCAATGCTTTGGCATGCTTCAGGGTATTCAACCTGCTGTCTTCCAACGAAAGGGCCTATGAAGAGGGAGCTTGGAGGGAGGGTGTACTCCAAAATCGTTGATGGCTCTTGGGTTTACACTGGCTCCTCCTCCTCGTTCTCCTTTCCTTCCGCCTCCTCCTTCTCGTTCCTCTTTCCTTCCGTTTCCTCCTCCTCCTTTTGCTAAGGATTCTTCCTCCTTGTCTCCCGCCCCTCCTCCACCCTCACCCCTCGGCCGCCGCGACAGGGACCTCCGCGACCGTCTCAAGCGGATGGAGCTTTCTGCCCTGAACCAGGCGGCCTCCGCGACGGCCGATTGCCCGTGCCCGCGGCGGGGAGAACGAAGGATGGTGTGGTCCCAACACAGGTTCGAGACACGAGGAAGGCGAGGGGGAGAGGCGGCATGGGGATGATCAGGAGGAGGAGGAGGAGGAGAAGGAGGAGGGGAAGGTGGAGGAGGAGGCGGAGGAGGACAACGAGAGGAGGAGAAGGAGGAGGCGGAGGAAAGAGGAGGAGGAGGAGGAGGAGGCGGAAGAGGACGAAGAGGTCAATGCCCACGATCCCATTTGCACCGCCGCTGCTACCACATTGCACCATTCACGCATGCATGCATGCATGCACCCATGCCGCGCCCGAAGTATAGGCTTGAACTGGTGTGGAAAAGCATCAGCTCGTCATGCTCATCAGCTCCGTATTTACCATTCTACTATTACTGCTACTCCATGCGTGACTTGCTCCTGCCTCTGCTTCCTGCCGTCCTTGCTCCTGCGTGTACCTTCCCCCTTCTCGTCGGCGTCGCCGCGGGAAGGTTCCGTTGCGCGGCGCAGTCGAGTTCCACAAGCACCTCGGGGAGCGCTGGTCCGGCCCACGACGGCGGCGTCCACGACGACGACGCTCAGGACGACGACGGCCTCGGAGACCGTCTACTTCTGCTCCTGTTCCTCTGTGCTCCTCGTATTCCTCCTTTTGAAGCTCCGTCGCGTGCTTGTTCCCTCATCCAGTCTTATCCTCCCTGCTCTTCCGCGCTATTCCTCCTCATCCCCATCTTTTTCATTATGACTACCTCCCCCTGTCGCACCACCAGACTTGTTCGCAGTCCAGGCCGCGTGTTTCGCTGGAAATGTCTTTACCAAGGGAGATCCTGAAGCTTAGAGGCCTGCAATAACTACAAAGTGGAGGGCTGGCGGTTTTCAAATTGCGACCATCACCCTAACGCCGCCCACATTCATTTACACTTTCAACCGATACGCGGGCCTGTGATTCTCAAAATGCGGTTCTCGCTCGAGCGCCGCGCAGAGTCGTTGTAAAAGCTTCGAACGTTGACATTGCTGGAGGGCTGGCGACTTCCAAATGGTCGGCACTCGCCTTGGCGCCGCGTGCATTCTTTCTAGAATCGCCCCAGTCACACGGAGGGAGACCAGTAAGTTTTCATCATGTGGCGCTCGCCTTACATGTTGTCAGAATTCTTGACATGCAGTTCAAATTGTGCAACCGTTGCTCTATTTCCCTCTCTCTATCTCTCTTTCTTTCTTCTGTTCGCCCCTCCTCCTTCCTTTTTCTATTCTAGACACTTCGCGTAACTCCACCAGCCCATCCAGAAACGATGCCCAGGCGAATTGCCCTGATCAGGGATGTGGAGGAGCACGCCGTGTAATAAGGGGTAGGGGAAGCCGTCATGCACCGAGAGGGAGAGGACGCGGGAGGAATCGGACGAGGAGGCGGAGGAGGAGGAGGAGGAGGAGGAGGAGGAGGAGGAGAGGGAGAAGGAGGAGGAGGAGGAAGAGTAGGAGGGGAAGGCGCGGGGGGACGGAGGAGGGACGAGGAGGGTAGGCGGATGAGGAAGAGGAGGAGGAAGAGGATGAGGAGGAGGAGGGTAAACAGAAAAGCCAGAGGCCTCTTGGATGCCTCTTGGGGTCTCTTCGGACGTCTCTTGAGAGCTTCTTCTTGGAGCGTCATGGGTGTCTCGGGGGAGCCCCTCGGGGCCCCTTCGGGGGTTCTTGGGAGCTGGGGCCTCTTGAGGTCTTCTCGACGCCTCGTGGGGCCCTCTTAGGGCCCCCTTGGGAGCCTTTGGTGCCATCTTGGAGGAGATCGATCAGCGAAGGGTGGTACTTCATTCTAGACGCTTCGCGTAACCCCACCAGGCCGACGACGTGCAGTGTGGCTCTGGCCTAATACCTTTGGGTCACCTCCTTGGGACGAGGTGTACCTCTCTCAGCACTGCGTATTGGTACAGTGCTCGCCTGGGATGCCGGGGGGTTCCGGCCCAAGGCCCACCCCATACGTTCCACTCGACGCCTTCTGAAGGCTGGTCCTCTTGCCCAGTGGCTGTTCCCCCCACTTGACAAGCACCGACTGGCTCCTCGACCACCACCTGCGGGTGGTTCAGGTAAGGCACACGCCTGCACAAGTGGTTTATCATTTGGCAGGCCCGGCCTTTCCACGACGTGCCCGTTCCGCTATACGGCGCCGTCGCCCTGGAGGACGGCTTCCTGTACAAGTGGTGCATCCTTTGGCAGGTCCGAGCCTCTTCTTGGCAGGCGTTTCCCGGTTCCGGCGTTGCCAGCGACATCTGCTTCTTTCCCTGGTAGAGGTTCACGTTCGCGGACGCCATCGACGTCTTGCCCTTCTGCGAGGATCTGGTGATGCACTCCTGCCCGCAGTTCCCCCCTGGCGAGGCTCTGAGCACTGGTGGTTGTGACGTGGCCCCCACGCGACGTTCATCCCTGTCTTTGGTGGTGGTGGTTGCCACTCGGGATTCACGACTTGTCCACCATTGTTTGGGTCAGTGACGGCCCGCCTTCGAGCACCTGCTGCTCCGTGAGTGAGGCATCCTTGTTTTCCCCCCCTCGTCCCTTCTTCCTGTCGACCTGCTCAGCGCCCGGCTTCATGGTGCTGGCGCCACGTGCGTCGCCACGTGCGGCTGGCAGCGACAGGCGCTCTGCATCTCTTAGGCGTGTTGCCTCCGTCTGCCCGTTTTCCCCAATTTGTTCTGCATGTTGCAAGTGCGGTCGGCTGTCGACAGTGACAGCTGAGTTCGCAAATTATCTGGCTCTGTGCCCCAGTCAGCCCGATTGACACGCCCTCTGGACTCTTCCTTGCGGGCCGCAGATCAAAAAAGTAACCCCGCCAGACCATGCAGAAGCGATGCCCGCATGAGTTTCCTTGATCAGGGATGTGCAGGAGGAGGAGGAGGCGGAGGGGGTCGGGGCCATCTTGGGGCCATCTGGGAGGAGATCGATCTCGCCGAGGCCTTCATGGACGCTCCAACGGCCCGCGCCCCCCCTCCAGACCCAGGGGGAGGGGGAGGGCCGGGGAGGGGTAAACCCCTTCCGAAAAAGGAAGCCGTCTAAACCACTAAAGCGCTGAAGGGTTGGTGGGACTTCCGTCTGCTATCCTGCCTCTCCCCTCCCGCCCCCTCAGCCTCCCATATTCCTGCCCCCCGCGTTCACCCATCATCCGCCCTCCCTCCTCGAGTGTCCCTCCTGCCCCATCATCCCTCTGCACTTCTCCCTCCCCCTCCCTTCTCCATTTCCCCATCTCTCGTGAGCCCTCCTCCTCCCTCCCCCTTCTCCGACCTTGCACATCTCCACAGGCCCTGGGGGTTCGGGAGGCCCGAAGGGGGCCTGACGCGGCGCAATCATCGACACTCGATCGATTTCCGAACCTCAACCCGAGAGCTTCCAACCTCCATCCGAAAGCTTCGATCTTCGAACCTCGATCCGAGAGCTCCCTCCTCTCCCCCCCTGGCAGAGAGGAACTCTCCGAGCTATACCTCCAGTTCCTGGAGGACACTGGTGGCGCGGAGGACGACTGAGCACCCGACCGCGGGCCCAGTTTATCCTCCTCGTCCTCCTCCTCCTTCTCCTCCTCCTCCTCGTCCAGAGTCACCGACACACCACCATGCCTGGTCGGAGCCATCCTGGTTTTTGGGATGGGGTCTACGCCCTCTTGGCCTCGGCCAGGAGGTCGTATACACAATGCCTGCGCCTAGGGTTGGCCTTGTCAGGCACGGTGGTGGTGCACAGGAGTCTTCAGCGGATTGGAAGCGGGCTATCCCCTGCATTGCTTATACGCCCGACCGGTGGAGATCGGAGATTCTGTTTCCCTGTCCCCAGTCGCGCGAGCCGCCTCGGACTTGGCAACACGCCCAAAAGGATGGCAAGTCTTCTTGGACGCCTTCCCGCCGCCTAGCAAGGCTCATCAGAAGTTGCCGCGGCCGTTCTGCGAAGGCCCCGCCGCCTTTCAGGAAGGCCATCCCCGACCAGCCTCGACCTTATCCCTACCAGTTGACAAGCCCGAAAGCGATGTCAATCTTGGGGAGGCGACCCTTCAGAAGCTGAGGGAGCCCTTCAGAGCGGCATCGAGATCGAGTGGTGCCAATCGCAGGGACAGAGGGGAGCCTTTCTATTTTAGATCTTTCTATATATATATGTATATTTATATATATATATATATATATATATATATATATATATATATATGGGCGCTACCGGGCGTTATCAAGGGGGGAGGGGGGGGGCGGTGGGCAGGGGGGTGGGGGAGCGGTAGGGGGACACAAAGGTAGAACCCTTTCAGCTTCGACGTCGTGCTCGCCCCCCACCCCCTCCCCCAGGATCAACGTTGAGTCGGGTTTCGCGACGGCCCTTGGGGGTTTCACTTTTTTGTCCTCTCACGCCTGTGCTGCCGAATGCCTGGGACCAACTTTGAATCTGGGGAGAGGGGGGGCGGAGTCAATGGTTCCACTTTCTTCTCCATCTACGGGAGGAGCGGGGGGAGTTCATGTCCTGTGCCAGCACATCCTCCTCGCGCCGACCCCCTCGTGCGTGTGTGCGCCGCCGGCTCCCCGGAGCCGCGTGAGGCGCCGCTTCCCCGGCGCTCCCGAAAAAGTGGCTCGGGGCGCTCGCTGTGCCAGGGCCCCTCGGCACCTCTCGAGGTGCGCGCCAGCGGCGCAGCCGCGGAGGCGCGGCCCTCACCGCCGCGTGCCGCTGTGCCGCGGGGGTGCGCGCGCCGCCGTGCCCAGGCCCCCCCCCGAGGCGTGCAGAGAGTACGGCGGTAGGCTCCTCGCTGTTTTTGCGGCCTCTGGGGGCCTTTACCAGACTTCGGGGCAGTCAAACAACGACGATGCTGACAAAGTCGACGTCGTCGACGACGTCCACGACCACGCCGCCGCCGCCGTCGACGACCACGACGCCGACGCCGACGCCGACGCCGACGCCGACGCCGACGACGACGACGACGACGACGACGACGAGGACGACGACGACGACGTCGACGACGACGACGACGACGACGACGACGACGACGACGACGACCCGTCCACGGGAACGGGCCGAGACCTTTAGGTTTTGATTTCATGAGAAAAAGCATGACGTCGGGGGTCTGGGTGGCTCTGGCCTGGGCTGGCCTTTCCCTGCACTCGAGGCAGCAGGCAGTGCCCAGGGGGGCCTCCAGTTTTAGGGGCCGCCGCCAGCTCCTGCCGAGGATCCATGCTCGGGGGGCGAGGATCGGGAAGTGTCTTCGGGCGATTCCGAACGCTTGGGTGGTTCTCCTGAAGGGTTCTCCTCCTCGAGGATGTGGCGACCCCCCTGGTGGTGATCCCCCTTGGCGCTGCATTGGAGTCCGGCACGGCGACCCCATTTTTGGGCTTGAGCAGTCCGAGAGATCTCGTTGGAATTCCTCTTTGCACGTCGACGTGCTATCTATGATGTACGTCGGCGTACGCTGGCGGGCATCGCTCGGCTGCTGGCAGGAAGGTTCGAGAGCCCATTGTGCTGCACGAGCTCGCTTCGATGGGGAAGGAGGCGCAAAGCTTGGCTTAACTTGGGAGCGGTATGGACCAACGTGCTGATCCGTAGTAGCTCTGGAGGTGAATCGTTCTCGAGGGAGGAGGATGGGCATGAGGGGGGAAAGGAGCATAGGAGCAGGATTTGGATTGAGAAGGAGGAGGAGGAGGAGGAGGAGGAGGAGGAGGAGGAAGGAGGCGGGAGGCAGGAGGAAGGAAGAGGAGGAGGAGCAGGAGGAGCAGGAGGAGGAGGAGGAGGAGGAAGAGGAGGAGCATGAGGAGGAGGAGGAGGAGGAGGAGGAGGAGGAGGAGGAGGAGCAGGAGGAGGAGGAGGAGGACGGGAAGGAGGAGGAGGAGGATGAGGAGGAGGAGGAGGAGGAGGAGCAGGAGGAGGAGGAGGAGCAGGTGGAGCAGGAGGAGCGGAGAAGCAGGAGGACACCGAGAAAGTCTGGGCCGGTACTGTCAACGCCTGACGGCCAGGGGGCCGTGCTGGGAGGTTCCGGGGTCTATATGCCAGCGCCGCTTTATGGGGTTTGCATTCGCAGCCGCAGCCGCAGCCCGCTCCGCAGCCGTAGCCGCAAACAGGCGCAGCCGCAGCCCGAGCCGCAGCCCGAGACGCAGCCCGATCTCATCGGGGCCATCTTGGGCCTCGTCATCGGGGGTCTTTCTGGGGGCCTGCCGAGTGCCCCCTGGCGCTCTCGGGGGGGGCCTGCCGTGTACACGAACAGCCCAGGTCGGCTCGACAATCTTACGCATGCTGACCCTGTGCGAGACGATCTTGTGGACATATTCGTGCCGTACGGTAGAAGGTGAGCCGCCAGTTTCGAAGCACCGTATGTTCCGCATTTTCCTCGGCGTTCCGTCCTCATGCCCGCCTGGTACGCTCGTGCGGTCTCCTCCGTCGGACGGGGCCAGGATGAGGATCGCTCCGTTCCTGGGCGTTCTGGAACGATCTCAGAGCATTCCGGAACGCTCTGAGAATCAAGGGAGGAATATCCACCCCGACCCCCATAATTGGCGTTTACTAGACGGCCCTGAGCGTTTACTTAAACAGCCCTGTCAGATTCGATCCCTTCCTGTGGCGTGTTTGCTAAACGGCTTCGCTTGTCGGGGTGCTGATTATGAGAGTGGATTTTCTGCTCTCTAGAGGCCGCGCCGCTCGATACATCCCTCAGAACCGCCGGATATCAAAGATTCTCGATGTATACTCACCCAATATTACCTTCGTCCTGGCTGCGTCAGAGGTGCCCTTGTGTGGACTCTCGTGCGCGGACTCTTGCCTTGTTGTTGCTTTGGGTGGGCCTGCCGTCGATGAGCTGAGGGGTTGGCCCGTGCGCCGCCGGTGGGAGGACCCCCGCGGACGTGGACACGAGGGCGTGCGTTGGCGGTTGCCGGCCAGGGGGCTGGCGGAGGGCAGGCGACCCTTGCGCACCCAGACCCCCTCTCGGGGGCTGATTTATGGCCACCGCCCCTCAGGCGATCGCAAACATGGATCAAGGGTGCGTGGATTAGTGACGGGTCCCGTTTCCATGGGAAATTTCGGATTTCCGCCGCCGAACGAGGTGGCTCTGGCCGCATTTTGGGGAGGGCACCTCCCCCGATCCATGGATTTGGGGACCGCGCGCCAAATCCATGGATCGCTAATCCATGTTTGCGCGCCCCCGAGCCCCTACCTGCGTACCTTGTGCCGGACTAGCTTGTTTGCGGGCGTGGTGTAGGACCATCTTGTCCCTAGGGATGCCATTTCTGTGCACAACCTCCGTTCTGCGGTCTTGTGCCGGACCAGCTTGTTTGGGGGGGGTACACGAATCGCGCCCGCGCCCTCGCGTCGTGAACAGAAATGCAACGAAAGGTTTTTGCACGTCTGCGCACTCGGGGGGGCCTCGCCTGGCCCATGGGCCCTAAAGAAACGACTCGGGATGGAAAGCTGGTCCCGGGGAAGGAGTTGTCCAGACCTCCGGGGGTCCATGTTGCATGACATCCGGGGAAGCGTAATGTTCGAGTGCGCTGGAACTCGGGTTTGCCGACGCTTTTGGACGAGCGCGTCCTGGATTTTGACAGTCCAGCTTTCGTGGAATGTCTGCAGCGGGAGCTCCCGTCAGATTTCAGACTGGGTCTCGTCGTTTTCCTGGCGGCCCAGTCAGGCCAACCCGCCCGAACCCGAGTCTTACGTCTGGCCGATGAAAGCCGGCCACGCGCAGAGGGGGGTAGGAGGGGGGAGGTTTGTTAGAAGCAGGGCTGCCTCTTAGAAGCCTTCCCCCCTCCCCCTCGCCCCCTCTGCGCGTGGCCGAGTAAGAATCACGACGTCGGGGATCGGGGCACCCCGGTCTGCTGCGTGCGGCAGGTTCGTGTCGTATCGGCAGGTTCGTGTCGTATCGGCAGTGCGGGCATCTCGAAGGTTTTGAACGCCGCCGGGTGGCCAGGAGCCGGTCGATGTCCAACGGCTTGCGCTACCAGGAAGCCGCGGCCGCTCAAGGTCGTCGCTTTAGAAAGTCCAGGGTTCGCTAGGGACTGGTTTCCTTTCAAAGCGGCCGAACCCCTCCCGAAACCCTCCGAAAACCTTCCGGGACGGGTCCCCGGGAGGGGTTTGCTTTCGTCGTTGTGGGAGGAAACCAGTCCCTAGCGAAACTTGGACGCTCTAATCTTAGCTGCCTCGATACAGGCGTAGTAGGTCGACCCTGCCAAATCGAGGGTACCTTCGTGTACTGTGTCTTGCGACCCATGCCTCCTGCCGTTCTGTGGCAACGTGGCCCTCGGAAGGGTCTTGTGTCCTATCCCGTGTCCTTTCCAATCAAGTCCGACTGTACGATCGCTTTGAACCGCAGCGCGTCCCGTGTTCAAGACGCCCATGTCACCGCGCTGCGTGTTGGCTCGGCACTTGCTCGCCCACGGTTTGGCGAACGTGACGTATCGCGCCAGACCTACGTAAAACGTTCGTGTCAACGCGCTGCGCGTTGGCTCGGCACGTGTTCGCCCACGGTTGGGGGAACGTGACGTATCGCGCCAGACCTGCGTTTTCAGTCTACGTGTTGAGCTGAGTGTCGACACGCTTCGTGTTGCGTGTTGCGTGTCCTGGCAGCGAAGCTCAAGGTTGAACGATCTGCTGGTGTCAGAAACCAGCGCCGAAGTCGTCGCGACACGAACATGCCGTGCAAGCTCGTTGTACCCCCCATGCATGGCGGCTTTGGCTCAAGGGTTTCCGCGTCCTGCCAGCGCCGCCATCGTTTGCCAGCCCGTCGTCGGTCTTACTCGCCAACGTCCCAGCTACTTGGCGCGATGGCGACGGCTCTTATCATCGTGAAGATGGACGGGCCGTGCGGCGAAACCGAATTCTAGACGCTTCGCGTAACCTCATCAGGGCACTCGTTCAGCATCCGGTTTTTTGCCTTCTCTGTCCTCCCATCCTGGTCTGCCCATCCGTGGCCGACTCGCCTCTGCTGCACCCCGGCAGGGTTCCGTCCCGGCCCCACCTGCGGGTCCGGCCTGTGGTTGCCCACTTGTGGCCGCCTCGCCTAATCGTCTTGCATGTGCATTCCACGCGTTCTCGCGCTAATCATCGTGCGCTGTGCCCTAGCCTCGTTCTGACCGCCCTCTGGACTTCTCCTTGCGGGCCGCAAATCAAAAAAGTAACCTCATCAGGACGGGCTTGGTTATCCCGGTTCGCGTCTCATACTGTGGCCGGCTCCGAATTCCATGACATTTTGTCTGTGCACGCGCTCGAGCTCGCAGGATACCCCCGCCGTCAGCTCCCCTTCAGCTTCGCGGCTGCTTTGAGCGGGCCGGCCGGCCTATGCCTACTGTAGCCAATTAGCCTCGCTCGTGTCCCGGACTTTGCTTCTCGCCGCCTGACCTTTGTCTCGCGGCCGCGACCGAAAAAGTAACCTCATCAGGCCTGCTCCGCCCTTGACGCCGCCAGACCTTTTCCCGCCGCGGTCGCGATCAAAAAAGTAGCCCCATCAGCGCCTCCTGAGCGGCAACGAGGCTCGCCTCCTGTTAGTCTCTTCCCCTGCGTGTTCTTGTCCTCGTTCGCCCTTCTTCCTCCTTTGCGCTAATTTAGGCCGTTGCATGTCTGCAG